CGACAATTCCGGGCCATAAGCTCATTTATGCGCATAGCCATCTCTTGCCCAAGGCGGTAGATTCTTTTCTCTCTGTGGTTCTCAAAGAAGGCACCCTATAATGGCCCGCATCGAATTAGGACCTTTGCAGCGCCCTACAGATTCACCCCTTTAACTCCAGCGGTGGCATTAGTCAACATGATACGGCAACCAATGGGTCGAAGAAAACAAGGTACATGGATTGAGGGCGCATGGCTAGATCTTGCCGGCAGTTGTAATGGAAACATGGCGCCGGTTCATTCATGTTCTGCATTATGATGGCAAGAATATCCAAGAAGACGCCTTCGTCCGCGACGAGAAAGACACCGTCAGGGTATATGTCGTGATGGTGATTGAACACAATCTGCTGTCTTGACCACTCTGGCCAAACGCTGATCTTCATGGTGCTTCAGCTCATCGTACCGTCGAGTCCGAGTCTTTTCGGCATCGCTCAGAGGCTCGACTACCGCCACTTCGTCGTGTCACTTATTCCGTAGTCTCTTCCTCTTCAGTGCCATCATCTCGGCGAGTTTTGGGTGAGCAGTAGGCTGTTTTTATATATGGAACGAAAACTGTTTGCTAAAAATCGAGGAGAATTGTCTTCGTCGAAGGGTGGAAAATGAAAAGAATGTCGGCTTGACTGGAAGATGGGTATGCTAACTTTAAAATGAGATCTCTAGGCTCGCTGGGTAGACCACCTTTTTTTTTTTCAGCCCACTGTATTTCACATGCTACGAATAGTAAACTAGTAGCAACATGGATTTCAATGTGTGCCTTAGGTGAGCATGTCTATTCCATATCTCTCTAACCTCTAGACTAGACTATAGGCGGATTGTGATATGATCAGGAGAAACCACCGCGTTAGCAAATGCTACTCAGACGAACAGAGTCCTTCTCCCCTTTACTTGCCACGACATGTTGACTCTGGCGACTTAGTACGGTACATTGTTGCTTGGGCACTCGAAGTTGGTGTAGCCAAAGCAGCTTAGGAATCCGTTCTTGATATAGAGGTCGTCGTCTAAAATCATGCTGGGTTAGCAATGATGTTTTTATTTTTCGAAATGATCATACGTACTGAGCTCAATGGTGGACTCTTGCGTACCACCGCCATTGTCCTTGCCTCGTCCGCAGGTGCAGGTGAGCAGCGTGTGGGAGCCGTCCTTCGAACGCAAGGTACAGCCGGTGCAGGTGTCGAGGAAGCGACCGAACTTCTGATAGCGGATGTTTCCTCCGTCGTTGATGTAGCACCTACGTATCACGCTTTGATCAGCCACCTTGATATATTATTAGAAGGCGGCATGTTGGTTTGCTTGACTTACATGTTCAGATCGAGATAAGAACATCGTTTCTCGTGGATGTCAGTCCACGGCCAACGGCAAACTCCGCGAAGGTAGTAGACCCTGTGTCGCTCATTGGACTGCACCAACTCCCAACTGTCGCTGTCGCACTGGTCGCTGAGATACTTGCTGCTGATGGTGCCGTTTGGGATACTGCTGTCGATGTCGCTAATTGACACGTGGGAAGTGATGCGGCTCCGGAACAAATCGAACGCCACGATTTGGGCGACGATGCAGGCCAAGACTAACCAGATAGTAACGACCTTCATCTTGTACGAAGCTGCCAGATGAAAGTTGGATCCGGGTCTTGTGCTCGTTTGCTGGTTTGGACTGCACCTTTAAAAATCGAATAAACAGAGAAGTCGCCAAATTGCACGTGCTTACTACCCAGGTACCTACCCAGGCAGGTAAAAGCGGTATTCGGTAACCATGGGATACACGATCAGAAAGCATAACAAGAATTAATTGCAATTGCTTCACTGGCTGCATCTGTGTAAATGCCTTTTATCCTACATAGGTACCTTGGAGATGAGCAGCGAGTAGACTCGAAGTAGACGATACACTTTATCAACCATGCCTGGAATCTATCAAACTGGAGGGAAATATGACACCCTAACGCAAATATGAGGCTCTGCACGACGTTAAATTATATGTATGGAAGGTAAGTCATTATCCTTTAATCTTAGGATGAAATATTGCTATTATGTTAAAACTTCGTGGCATTATCCCCGGGTTTCAACTTCCTAAGAACATTCTGATATGCTTTCTCCCATCAAATACTTCATTAATGATTCACATCTAGGTGGATTTGATATTTTAGGTAAATATCAAATTCGTGAAGAACTCTATGGAATTAAACTTGAGTCAAATGTAGCCACCTGCCAGGCGAGTCATTCGGTTGTGCCGGTCGGGGGGTCCCTTGATCACAAACGGACGTCAGATCCCCTTTGCTGACTTTGGGGGTTTGAACCTACTCACGATAGTGGCGACATCTGCCGAGAAAGAGGATGTAGTTGAAGTTTCTATTAATACGGTCGAATAAGATTTGTGAAGAACGTGTCAGCCACATCACGGACAGCCACGGCTAAATGGAATCTAAGCATGCTAAGCATGTGGTTTCTTTGCCAACTCTTAGTGGTTGAACGCGCTAAAAAGGTAAGGCTTTGTAGGGCTCAAGTGTGGCGCAAGCGGACTTACCGGCGAATCAATACCCGAAACTTTCCTAGGGGTTATCCGGCTGGATTTTTTTTTTCTTGTTGACCCACCTTTTCCCGATTGAATTGTTAATCTTTTTGGCGCCGGAATACTTCTTCCTTCACACATCTTAAAAAAAGCCTCAAAGCTGCAATTCCCGACCTACCTAGGAAGGCATCTTTCGTTGAGCCTTTGCGTGAACGACTTGATTCTTTCGTCTCCTCTCCACTCACTTCTAATACTAATCCTTCTCTCTCCTAATTCCTCATCCCGCAACCGCCATGTCTTCTTCACCTGTTGAAAAGGCCGATGCCCTCGCCCGCCAGGCCGCGGCCGCTGCTCCCGGCCAGCTCAGCGGATTGGCTCTCTACTCCAGATTCGCCCTTGCCGGTGCTATCTGCTGTTCCATCACCCACGGTGGCCTTACTCCCGTCGATGTGTAGGTGCTCTGGTCCCTTACCGCTTATTCTGCGCATAGCAGTTGCTTGGTACTCGACCGGCAGCGGGTCGTATCCGGTTTCTTGAAATAGGCGCCGATATCATCGTGGACTTCTTACTGACATCAATTGCCTATAGCGTCAAGACCAGAATCCAGCTCGATCCTGCCACATACAACCGGGGCCTGATCGGTGGCTTTCGTCAAGTCATCGCCAAGGAAGGTGCTGGTGCCCTTTTGACCGGTGCCGGCCCTACCTTCGCCGGTTACTTCCTCCAGGGTGCTTTCAAGTTCGGTGGATACGAGTTCTTCAAGCAGCAGGCCATTAACTTGGTTGGTGTTGAGAATGCCTCCAACTACCGAACTGGTGTCTACCTCGTCTCGTCTGCCTTCGCCGAATTCTTTGCCGACATCGCCCTCTGCCCTCTCGAGGCTACCCGTATTCGTCTCGTATCCGAGCCCACGTATGCCAGCGGTCTGGTGAGCGGCATGAGCAAGATGTTCTCTCAGGAGGGTCTTGGTGCCTTCTACGCCGGCTTCGGCCCCATTTTGTTCAAGCAGTACGTATTACTCGGCCGGGTTATAGCCGTGTTGGACGAGTCATACTAATTCTATATAGGGTCCCCTACACCATGGCCAAGTTTGTGGTCTACGAGAAGGTCGCCGAGGCTGTCTTCCGCAAGTACCCCAAGAAGGACATGTCCGATGGAATGCAGACCACCGTCAACCTGGGATCCGGTCTGATCGCCGGTTTCGCCGCCGCCCTTGTCTCGCAACCTGCCGACACCATGCTTTCCAAGATCAACAAGACCAAGGGTCTCCCTGGTGAGAGCACCACGAGCCGTCTGATCAAGATCGCCAAGGAGCTCGGTTTCCGTGGATCGTACACCGGTATCGGCGCCCGTCTCTTTATGGTTGGTACGCTGACCGCCGGTCAATTCGCCATCTATGGTGGTAAGTTTATATCGACACCTTCAATCCATCGAATACTAACAAAGTGATAGACGTCAAGAAGATTATGGGAGCCACAGGAGGTGTCGGTATGTATAAACCTTTCTCCTGTTGTGAAAGAGTCGAGGATAATGACTAACTGAACATCTTTTTCTACAGAAATTTCGAAATAAGAAGCTTCTAAACTTTGATAGTTGAGGGATTTAATAGCGAATAAACGGACGACACCACCGCGGGATGGGCTTATAATCCAAGGTGGAAAAGTCGTTTTATCACGTCTAGCAGTTTGACGTTGAAACCCCTATGAAAAGCTGCTTCCCTTTTTTTCGCATTTAGACTAGGCGGTACCGGAACTGGGTTTGCAGGCTTCCCAAGTGTCATTTTCCATCTGGTTTGGAGGTGCCTTAATCTCCACGACCCGGGATGCCATAGATGCATAGAGCATAGATGAAAAGCATCTAGAAGCCCAAGACGACACTTCCCGACGGAGGGTGTATAATAGACTGGTTCATATTATGAAAGCATCGGACCCAATCCCAACTCTCTGTATAACATGATTGTTCTAGTGTTTCTTTTTGCAAGGCTTGGTGTAGGCATACTTCGGAATATGAATAAAGCTGAGGAGTTTAAAGATCCAAGAGAATACCATCATCCGTTTGAAGTTGAAACATGTAGGTGTCAAATGGCAGTGAAAGCATACGAATGAGACAGTATAGGAGAATGGGATGGAATGATCGCCCCTAAGAGAGAACACCTCACGAGAGGGTTAAGGAAGTACTCAAACGAATTAACAACGTGATCACATTATGATTCATCAAGCCCCTGTATTCGAATCTTTGCCGGGGATATCCACCTAACGACTTCTCAGGTTGACTACATAGCAAGTCATCATCTGCTCGAAGAGAAATGCAACACGGAGAAGTTGGCGTAATATGCAATATGTTTGCACACTAGATACAGCATGCCCTTATCGGTATTGCGGCTGTACGGGGACAAATCCAGCGAGTTCATAACGCGTAGAGAAGCATTCGACACCACCAGAAAATAAAAGGGTTCGATGTAATGGCTACGTGGTGTAGTGGTTAAAAATGCCTGGCTGATATGTGTGCCCAGTCACACAGTATAATGGGTTCGAATCCCATCGTAGTTTGACTATCCAATTCTCACTTTTTTTTTCTTTTTGTTTCGGTGTTTCAAGTTCAAAGTAAAAAAAAAAAGCGACGCCGCTTTTTGCAAGCAAGCTTTGGACGAGCTACTTTATGCGACAGACCGGCTTTGGCGAAATCATTTATTACAATTTACCTACACAGGAATAAGCTGTGTTTTAGCAGCCATATCTCTCCCTCTCCCCCTTTAAAAATTTTTTTTTTTTTTCTATTTCTCTCCTCCCATAGGGTTCCCCCGATTAACCGGCTTGTCACCCACGTGCGGTACTTTTTCGACCGGCACGTTGGTGCTGCCCTTGATGGGACCCGAGTCCGAAGCCACGGGCGCCTCGCCGGGCGCGTGGCCCTCCTTGTGTGCTGGGGCGTTGGGTGCGCCTAGGCCGTGGGCTATATGTATTTCGCTTGCTTGTCAGCTTCTGGGCTTTTCTGCTTTCAAATGGCACACCATGTAAGGTACATCGAGTGGATAAGAGAAAAATTGGTGTAGGGGGAAGGGAGGGACTTGCCTTGAGCTTCTTTCTTCTTGAAGGTCTCGCTGGCGGCGTCCTTCTGGCCGGGGGTCTTGGAGGGTGCCATTTTGTCTTGGTAGATACGACAGACGTGTATTTATTGATGCCTGGGAGAACCAACATGCTTTAGGAAAGGAAAGTGAAGTCTTCTCTAATATATCATACTTGTAACTCCCTTGCAATCATTACGTCAATTCATCGCCATTCGTTGATGTCATCTACCTAGGTAGTCAGGGGTAATATCTGTACAATCAGACATGACCCGACCATCAACAATCAGTCGAGGACAAAGTTCCATCACGTTCAGAGATGGTTCGGTGCGCAAAGATCAGATTAAATTATCTCAGTGAGACAGTACTGAAACGTGCTGAATCTCACTTCTCTCCAACCCCAATGTATCATACATGAGGCCAGACCGGTTCTTTGCAATCCCCCTGCTTCGCAACCCACTCGCGGATCCGGTTCACATTCCAGCCACTGACCCATCTCTGCTCCTCCTTATCCTTCTTCTCCACCGGCTTTCCAAGCGCGAACGAGTTGCTATACGCGCAGATGCCGTCGTGGAACGAGAACTGGAAGCAGCTGGGGACGGTGTCGCACAGCCGGCGGCAGTGGTAGAATGACTTGTGCGCGTCCATCTCGACGGGCGGCACGCGCATCTGCTGGTTCAGCTTGCGGGCGCGGTCCTCCTGCCACTTCTCGTGCTTCACGTCGGGGTCCAGGTACAGCACGTCCCCGCTCAGGTTGTCCCAGTCGTCGCGCTGGACGCTCAGCTTGGGCTCGACGAACGCGTGGTAGATGTCCTTGATTCGCAGGGCGGGACGGGGCAGGTCGGACGACTCGAAGAATCGCTTCTCGAACTCCTAGAACGAGGAGATCTCTTCCGAGTCCATGTGGTGCATCGTCGCGAGGGGCTGGCACCATTCGCGGGGGCCGTACGGGATGGTATAAGGCTTCTCGCCGTTTATCGTAGGCCACTATTAGAGCATCGTGTTAGTTCCCCCCTTTTTGTTTCGTACTGAGATAACGGATATGATAATGGAGAGGCACTTACAGCAAAGGTAACCCCGACATCGATGGTTTCGTTCAGTGCGAGGCCGAGTACATGATCGCCGCAACACGAGTCTTTCGCCCGCATATCGTAGTTATTGGCGATAGAAGGATGATTCTCCACAAGGTCCTGCAGCGTGGCGTGCGAAAGGATATATCCACTGCCACCGTGTGCAAAGGGGAAGTCATTGATGAAGGTTGCGCTGCCGATGTAATGCTTTTCGTGCCAAGGGTTCTTCAACTTGTGTAGCCACTGAACGAGGTTATACCAGAGCACATAGGTGTCGGCATCGATGAAAAGGTACCAATCATAGCCAGGGCGCAGACAGTATGTCTTCTCCGCTATGTGGACATTCTTGTACTTGTCCAACTTCCAACCTAGAAGACTTTGTCGGTCGTGACCAATTGTACCCTTGACGCAACTGTCTTGGTCGATGGGGCATGTCTGTTGCTGCCAATACAGATCAAAGTCCGGATTGTTCTCTTTGACCTGGGGGATCACCGTGTCCAGGCTGTCGTGGATGTGATATCCGGCGATATTCTGCTCCAGGTCAGAGAACAGGAGAAAATCTGGGAGGCATCTCAGAACGGTGAAGAGCTGGGTGGGGATTCTGGCATAGGACTCCGTGGCGCCGGTCTTGACAACAACGAGGATGTTGGAGGTATCAGGGAAGGAAGCGCAAGAAGGGTCGACAGGTCGTACGTTAGGAAGGATGCGGTCGTCGGAACTTCCAAGGTCGGACGAGTTGGCGTTAGTATCACTGTAGGGACGTCGGATGGATGCAAGCGACGAGCTACGGAAGGACCAGTCACTGAGGCGCTTCGTGACCATAAGGAAGACGAAAGCGCAAACAGCGACGGCAGTGAACTTGCCAAGCCAGTGTCTTATAAGCATGGTCGCTTCAGGTTACTAGCATGACCGCCGCCTGACAGTATGTGCTCTTGAAGGTGAAGAGGGGGGACGACTACCTAGGTAGGTAGGGTTAGGTAGGTAGGTAGGGTTAGATGAAAGGTTGAGGCTAACCAACAGACAAACAGTACGAGTGAAGCGTTAGTTTTTGTGGTTTGCATTTGGCAACACGTGAATTATTGATATGAAGATTAACACACTTGCCTGATGAAAGAGGGCAGGCACGCCGGGTCAATGACGCCTGTGGCAACGACGCCTGGGGCAACGACGTCTGGGGCAACGAGCAGCAAGCAACGAACCACCCTTTGCGATAGTGGATCACTCAGATTTGCGGACTTGGAAAGCAACTCCCAAATCTTTACGTTTCTGCACCTTTCGAGCTACTGCGCCTTTCGAGCTACTACATCTCATCGCAGTATCATCTTTCAAGCATCACAAGCATCAGCACGCGTCAGGTAGTATCCCATCATCCATCATCATGACCGTTCCTACTCTCTCCGAGCTCATTCGAGCCTTTCCCATCGGTTCTCGTCTCGACGAGTTTCGCAACTTCTTCCTGCAGACATACAAGTACAAGGTTGAAGGCACGTTCGAAGGCACAAGCGAAGGTATGCCGTGATTACTTGCTCATAGCTAATAATTCCACTCGGCTAATATTCTTGCAGAACTCTTCGACTTGCTAGAGGTTCGATTAGCAACCGAACACTCTACCGTCACCTTGCTCTCGTGCAATCTCCTTAGCATCCTATCGGAGTCTACTGTCGTTGAGCTGCTGGCGTCCCCCTCTGGTCGACCTAGTCTCCAGGCCGACGTATTGGCAATGCTGTACGAAGCTTTCGCCAACAACATCGAGTCAGCTCGCTTCATGCCGCTTCTTGGCGCTGCCCTGAGGACCCAGTCGGACGTCAATATCTGGTGCAAGGTCTACGACATCGCCGCCGCCTATCACAGTGCCTGATCGAGGAGGAAGCTTTCTTTCGACAAACATTATCATCACCTGGTTAGGGTAGATAGTATGCATTGGGTCTAGGTAGAGCCTGGGTAATCACAACAACTGCGTTAACGTCCATCTGATAACAATGAAGACCTTTGTGATTTGTTCAACGTGAAGGTTTAACATGCATGGAATGCACCTTTGAGCACAGCAATCGTACCGAGAAAGACAGCCTGTGTTTTACAAATAAGACACTGTGGGGGCAGGCAAGATAGGACATGACTTGTGCATAGGGCTTATTGTAATCAAAAAGATTAGAATTGTGTTGCTTTGTATGCTTGATGGCCTAGGCGGAAAAAGCACCTACCCTAGTATTGCAATTATTCCCCTTGGGAAGAAAATCTTTGGAGAGCTACAACATGTTTGAACTAAACACTTTCTGATGTCAGCTGTAGTGTCTCCCCCATTTGAGCCCATCTAGCCTCTTCGCGCCTCCCCCCCCTTTCCTATCTCATCCAAACTCGGATACGTCCCTACCTGTGGGATGCGGGCCCATCTACATCATAATCTACCTACCTATCATACATACAATGACTAAGTATTCTTTCCACATCGAGTACCTACATAGATACAGCAGATTTCATCAGTGCTACCTTGCTCGCTTCTGTAGCTTGCGTGATACAAACCGGCGTGAGACAGACATAGCTGCCAGCGTGGCTTGGAGCTGGAGCAGCCCTAATTATGATATCATACACTTGATATTAAAAAAGTGTGTCCAAAGTGAATGTGGTATCTCTGGTGTCTCGTAATATACCGGCTACGGAATGCCGTTTTCTATTCTTCTATCTTTTAGCATTAGATGTTTACCTTGCTTTACCCACCCTAAATACACCCATAGAACGGTCTTTTACCTAATCCCGCATCATAATACAAGATCATTAGTTCTATGAGATAGATTCAATCATAACGCCAAGCATGGGTAACGGGACTGAGAATCTACCTCCGGGTATTTCTAAGCCTTGTGCCAGTCCATTGATTATTCTGACTAGCTTATAGGGGCTAAGGCATAGAAGTCGACGATTATGGTAACACTAGTATTTATTCTGATCCAGCTCGTCTTTACGTATATGCGTATGTTGTTACTTCTTTTCAAGTCACCGCAACGGTTTTACACCAGCAGCAAATATAAACCGAACGGAAATCGTCTTGCTAACCGCCTTATTAGGTGGTTTTCTTAGGAGGTCAAGGTCGGAGCTCCGAAGAATTTGATTCGGGATCCGAAAACGCTACCGTCGAACTCACCCATTGCCCGCTATGCTACAGTGAGTTTGCAGCGCTGTAAATTTAAATCTATAGCGCACCCCTGCTAAATTCAAGCAGTAGTTATGTCGGCTCTTCCTAGCAATTGTGATGTTAACAGGCGGGGGATTGAATATTTCGGGGCCCTTGATCTACTATCGTCTATGATGAACACTACCCCCTACGTCAGTGCAAATACTTCACGGGCGATTGGAACCGTAATTGGGTTTCTTAGTGAGCTGAGGAATTCTCACAAGAAAGAGAACTAGGGAGATTCCTAAG